TGTGCATGTAAATTTTGGTGCAAATCCATCAAAAATTGCGGCCGTGCATTCATTACACACACACACACACATACACATCCTGCCTTTTATAGATAGAGATATGTATATATATATATATATATATATATAATTTTATGTAATAATAAACACTAAGATGTTACAAAGACACAGCTTGATGTAAAATACAAAACATGGAGACAGAGCAGGTATACAACATAAAAAAGATACATATATTTCATTGTTTTTGCAACATAAAGTTTCATGTGCTCACATGTTTTTGTTTTTTTTGTTTTTTTTCTGGGCGGTCACATAATTGTCAGGCAGTGGAAAAGTACAGGAAACTTGATTATTGTTTGCCAGTCCCTGATTACTACCTGACAGTTGTGTGACTGTCCAGAAAAAAAAAAATGTGAGCACAAGAAACTTTAAGTTAAGGAAACAGTGAAATATACATATCTTTTTTTTTTTTTTTATCTTAAACAAAACCTTCAAATTCTCAAGGACTTCTATATCAAAATCAACCAACCAACACTCAAGAAAATTTATTACAAATATATCAACAACATATTAAAGTGCAACTCGGCACCATTTTACATTTCTACCAATTTTCGGTCAGTTCCCTTATATTGAAACGTTTGTTTTGTATAAGATTCCATAACTACAATGGATAAATTTAAAATTTTAAAAATGATTATAACAAAGTAGATTTGCATGTGTTTTTAAAATCACCATCACAAAGGAATGCAGATTTTTTCTCAGTTACAATAAGTTTATCTTTGTAATTTGCCCCCTGAAGATGATCTGAGAAAAGTTGAAAGTACATGGGTATAAAAAACTATGGCACCTTCATTGATGAATTTCATCTTAAAATCAAGAAACTGATAAAACAACTGGAAAGGATCAGTATATATATATATATATATATATATATATATAAAACATTAGGCAGCATATGATTTACATACAAAGAATAATCACACATAGAATTAATCCGAAGTATTAATGCGATTATTGGCGACATCCATCGCTAGAAAACATAATATATGCATTAAAATCCTGTTCATCCAGAGTGCGAGTTTTGATCCTTGAAGAAAAACTTGTTGTCTGTAGTTTTTCAGTTTATTTGATGTTAAAATGCTAGTACTTCCATCCATCATCAGGCATGTGTTGTTTATCTGGATGAACAGGATTTTAATGCATATATTATGTTTTCTAGCGATGGATGTCGCCAATAATCGCATTAATACTTCTGATTAATTCTATGTGTGATTATTCTTTGTATATATATATATATATATATATATATATTTAGGCAGCATTAGTCATTGAAACATGTGAGTCTACTTATTTTTATACAATATGTCTATATTATTCAATCAAACATGTTTCAATGAGTATATGCTGCCTAAATATAAATAATATAGACATATTGTGTCTACTTATTTTTATACTGATCCTTTCCAATTGTTCATTGACTCGTGGCTTGGCAATTGCATCTAGCATGAAACAGACTGTCACCTCTAAGTGTTGACTTCTATGTTCACTTTTATATTTATATTTACATACGCTCTATCTCTGATATTGAGCACTTTATCCCATAAATATAGCACACCCTAAAACTATATTTCTTCATATATATATATATATATATATATATATGTATATGTGTGTTTGTGTGTGTTTTGCCTACTAGAATGTTTGGGAATAGATTATCAGCATCGAATGATGCTAAATTGCATTTTCTTGGTGTTGTTTTAAGAATGAATTGATGGGTGTATATAATACTATATTTTGAAGATAAATATGGAGAGATGCCAAAGAATTACTAAACAATCCCAATATTGTCATTAGGCAGACCAATAAACCTGATATATATGTTATTCTAAATAAATGTGATGACAATAAACCATCATTGACAACAGGTGCAAATTTATTAACTGACATGCAATGTGGTAGGTCCTGACCTGGCATCTCGATTTCAGTCACTTTCTCGCAGACATGATCTAGCTTCCCTCTGTCTTTTCTACAAATATTTTCCTGGCAACTGCTCTGACAAACTACTTTCACTAGTACCCCAAATGCATGAATTTAAGCATGCTACTAGGTTGACATCTCGGCCCCACCCTTTTACTATCGAAACAGTTAAATGTAACCGCCTCTTCTACTCCAACAGCTTCTTCTCTCAGACTTTACGACAGTTGAACTCCCTTCCTCTTACTTGCTTCCCTGATAGTTATAATCCTCAAATATTCAGATGTAATGTCAATCGACATCTTCTGATGCCTTCATCTTGATCCATATCCTTCTCTATATTCTTTTTTCAAATACTCCTCTTTACTCTTACTCTCACTCTCTGTAATCCCCTTGCTAGTTGCTTGGGGTGAAATGCTTAAGAAAAAAAATAACACTAAGGAAGTAAAAAAAAATGTGTCAGTGAAATTATGACATCAAATAATGCTGAAATAGGATCCATGAAAATTACCAAAATCATAGAGAGACTTCTAAAGACTCTCTATGGATATGTAAAAATACATAAAGACACCCACTATGACAGGGGCGGCCAAACCACAGCTTGCAAGACACATGCATCTTTTTGACATTTAACATGCAGCTTGTGAAAATATGTTAGCTGACCTTCTTTTTCCATCACAGTTAATATAAAAGATAAATAAGAAAAAATTCAAGCTTTATAATTATTTACTGGGTATGAATTAGCCCATTGGATTAAAACATAAGTTTTGTGTTCATGGTTAGTAAAAAATATTTAAGAATTTAAATTCTAGTTTAATGATAGATCTGAGTGAATTGTTGTTCTTTAGTGCTGAGGGAAGAAATGGTGGGAAGCATATATATGTGTACTTTGTGATTATTGAAGTCAATATAAATTAACAGTTTAAGAAACTGCATACATGCATTTCTTAACATTTATGTAAAAATTTTGTTCCAAATATGTATGCAACAAAAACGTTTGTGTATAAATTTTGTCCATGTCTTTTGTCTAAAAAAGTAATTAATCTTCCTTCCATCACTTTCTCTCAGTCTGAGCCTCTTGCTCTTGTATTTTGAAGTTGACTTCAATTACTGATAGCCATTAGTTGAAAGTAAATGTTCCGTATTGAGTTGTGCAACATGTCCCACTCTTTTAAGTTTAATACGACCTCAGCTTAACTCATATTGTTACATCCCCAGGTTCAGCCTGAACTGGAAAGGTAGCATCTGTTAGAGTCCCAACTATAGTTAAATAGTGAATGTCCCAAACTGGGGTCAAAACACTATGAAAGTATAAAAAATACATTTTCATAGAAAAAATACCAACAATAGATTTTAATAGTAAAAAAAAAAGAAAAAAAAAGCCTCCAAAGAAAATTAAATTCCAGCATTAAATGTCCCATAAGGAAGTTGATATGCCATTAAATAATCAATCAATCAACCAATCAAATCTTAATTTAATCAGGGTAGGTGTCGTCACTATTTTCATTCCAATTCCAGATCATGGTTTCTAATTTGGAAACTTTTATCTTGAATCCTATTTTTTAGCACTTGATAAAGGATGCTGATTTTTTGTTCAAGATTTTTCTTACCCCAGCTAGAAATAACTATATCAGGGGTGGCCAAACCACAGCTTGCAAGCCACATGAGTGGCTCTTTGAGCTTTAATAAGTGGCTTGTGAAAATATATTGGCTGAGTTCCTTTTTTTCATCACAGTTATTATAAAATGGTAAATAAGAAAAATTTCAAGCTTTATAATTATTTACTGGGTATGAATTGAGAACCCATTGGATTAAAACGTAAGGTTAATGTTAATGCATATGTAACAAAAATGTATGTATAAATTTTGTTCATGTCTTGTGGCTCTCCAACATCTGAACTTTATTGTATATGGTGTTTACATTAAGCAAGTTTGGCTACACATGCACTATGACATATCATATCATAGATTCCAACTTCAATTAAACCAAATATCAAAACTATTGAGTTTTTTAATTTGACCTTATTTCTTATTACTTTAGACATCATTTTTAGTGAATAAATGCACTTCAGTTCAAATTTCTGTTTTTCCTTTTCTTAAACAATGACATTCTAGATCAAGAATTCCTCCAGAAAAATTTTTTTTTTCTTTTCTAAAATAATGACATGAATATCAACCGGCCTAGATCAAGAATTCCTCCAGAAAAATTTTTTTTTTTCTTTTCTTAAATAATGACATTAATATCAACCGGCCTAGATCAGGAATTCCTCCAAAAAATATTTTTTCCTTTCCTTAAATAATGACATTAATATCAACCGGACTAGATCAAGAATTCCTCCAGAAAAATGTTTTTTCTTTTCTTAAATAATGACATTAATATCAACCGGTCTAGATCAAGAATTCCTCCCAAAAATGTGCCTTTCAACAGAAATTGAACCTCTATTGTCTTTTTCCATGAGGGAAACCATTCCTTAAGTAGGCAATTGAGCCTTGCCTTATCATGACAGTCTCCTGTGGCCGAATTGGTAATGGCACGTTTTGGCTATAGGAATGGTTTTCTCTTTCATTGCCAGAAGGCCTAATGGACATTCTGTTTGTTATAATAAACATGTTTAAATGAAGGATTGCTTGTCTAAATATACTGTTTGGCATATGTACATACATACATACATACACACACACATATATATATATATATACACTGTAGAAGTTTGATAAAACATGGAGTAACTGATGGGTTTACATTTGCATGATTAAATTCATCAATTTAGAAAATGATATTAAAAATTTAGTAATCAAACTTTTTTTTCAAACCTGTCTGGGACTAAAACCATTTAATTTGGGTAATGGCACTGACCAAGAATTCAATTCTGTTTAAAAGATTTTTTTTTTTTTTTTTAGCTAGAGATTTTAGAGACTCTCATCATCCAAACATTTTCAACAATTTTTTTTTCTTAAGTTTTCTGTCATTGTAACTTTTGCTTAATTTAATTCCATCCATCTCATACTGGGTATGTCAAAGGTCAAATCATGGGTTTTTCTATCTTTCTTTCTTTCTTTCTTTCTTTCTTTCTTCTTCTTCTTCTTCTTCTTCTTCTTATTATTATTATTTCTTCTTCGTCATCAGGAACTCATTTTCTGATATTTAGTTTTTGGTCTTTGTTACATTTGTTTTACTTTGATGGCATCTAATTTTTCTCCCCTCTGCTCCCATTCATTGAGGCGATATTGTCATATCCTTTTGGCACTTCCACATTTTTTAAAAAACAACTGGAAGGAAAAGCTTAACCTGCATTGTTGTATGACTGTGTCAGGATATAAAGAGGCCTCAAAAGCAACAAAAAAAACTAGCATTCTGCAGTCCAAGCTTTGGGAGGGTTATCATCTCTCAGTTGCATCTGTCTTCGAGCAAAGTGCAACTCATCTTTGTTGTCATATTTACAATATTTCAGCCATTGTGCACTCTGGCCTACTTCAGGTGAATAGAATTTCAAACTGAGCCCTTTATTTCATCTACTATGGTAGATTGTTCTAGTTCTACATACCATGCCTCTTCTGGATATCTCAGTTTCAGTTATTTCCCTTTACTTAACTCAACTCTCCATGTTTTTGTTCACCTTTGCCATGGCCAGGTATTGAACTCACAACCCTTTGGGTCAAGTCACTTGATTACTTCAAGTAATGCTTTTATCCCACTATGTGTCCTTGGGGACATCGGTGTATGAATTTTTGGGACTTACAAGCCCCAATATCATTTTTTACCAGAGCTCATATTACAATTTTTGTTATTATTGTTTTTCTCTGTATTACTGATTACTGATTTCCAGTATCATGTAAATAGTTACAATACCTCATTTCTGAAATATACATATATATATATATATATATATATATATATATATATATATATATGTGTGTGTGTGTGTGTGTGTGTGTATATGTGTGTGTGTGATGTTTATTGGCAATTGGTAGTGAATAACATATTATAGTTTGATCCAACATTTCTGTCCACATAGCAAAATTATAGTTTATATTTGAAAATGCAGCCCTATGATTTTAATCCACATTTATTAGGTTGCAGAAAAGAAACGTTTGTTATGGAAAATGACTACTTTGGTCAGTATGTGTTCCTGATGCTTTCGTTTAGTTGTCCATTCTTGGAATCAAAACAAAAAAAGGTTTGCAAATGGAAATCATGCCTATGTTGGTAATTCACACTGTAGATTATGCATTAAGGCGTCCATTTCCAGACTTGCTTGTGGGAAGAGAATGTGATTTTTAAAATTTATTGCCAGGACTGATGCTGAGATTTATGCAACTATCTTATTGTAGTTTTTTATAACTAGTACGCTAAAAGAAAGAAAAAAATAGTTTTCTTTGGCTTACAGCTCCCAAAACTTACAAATGCTTGCCTGTTGGAAACTAAACCAGATAATGTTGTTTGACAGTGGGCTTCAAGTGATTAATGCTATGTAAATATGTTTCAGACCGAATTTTTATTGGATCCATATAAGTTCCACAAAAACACTATTTCTCTTTCTGTCTCACTCACTCATCATGGCTTTGCCTCTGTTATGGGATCTTACCCATAATAATAATAATGGACTATTCCATACTTAATAAATACTGCACCTCAAGAGTAGGCAAAGAGTCAGTAGTTCAAGTCAAGTCAAGAGTCGAGTCAGAGGCAGTCACATTCAGACAATTACTGAAGGCATCGGAATAGTGATACTGGTCGAGACTACATTGTTCTCTCTACTAAACCTGATTGTTCATACTAACACTTCTACTTCTCTGTATATATTCCTGTTTGTAATATATCTGTGTTATTCCATACCTGTGTTCACCTTCTTCTTTATTGGTTCTACCTTGGACTATCACTGTGGTACAAGGAACCGGGCCATAACAGCCTCACAATTAAGAATTCAGGCTAGGTTTTTATATCTTCTACAGAGTTACCTGTGATTTACAAGACCCACACAATTGAGACAGGTAACTAGAAGGGATGCCAATTTCAACTGTTTCTTATTTGGATCCTTCTAGTCCTCATTTTCTACAAAACATCCACATTGTTCATATGTTCTCTCCATGGCATTCTCAGAATCTGTCTGTAGAATCACATCTCTGTAACTTTGAGTCATTTCTTCAGCTGTGAGGAAACTGTCAAATACAGAAGACTAGATGTGACATAGTAGTTTATCATCCTTACCAATAAATATCTTATGCACAGTATATGACAAAATGTAGGCAACAGTATAAAATGGCACCAGGAAGATATGGATTAATATATTGTTCAGTAGTATCATTATTTTGTTAAGTAGTCATTTGGTGAGTGACTTTCCTTATTTTGACCATTTTGGCAACTAGTCATTTGGTGAGTGACTTTCCTTATTTTGACCTTTTTTGGCAACTAGTCATTTGGTGAGTGGCTTTCCTTATTTTGACCTTTTTTTGGCAACTAGTCATTTGGTGAGTGACTTTCCTTATTTTGACCTTTTTTTTGGCAACTAGTCATTTGGTGAGTGACTCCTTATTTTGACCTTTTTGGCAACTAGTCATTTGGTGATTGACTTTCCTTATTTTGACCTTTTTTTGGCAACTAGTCATTTGGTGAGTGGCTTTCCTTATTTTGACTTTTTTTGGCAACTAGTCGTTTAGTGAATGACTTTCCTTATTTTGACCTTTTTGGCAACTAGTCATTTGGTGAGTGACTTTCCTTATTTTGACCTTTTTTTGGCAACTAGTCATTTGGTGAGTGACTTTCCTTATTTTGACCTTTTTGGCAACTAGTCATTTGGTGAGTGACTCCTTATTTTGACCTTTTTTGGCAACTAGTCATTTGGTGAGTGACTTTCCTTATTTTGACCTTTTTGGCAACTAGTCATGTGGAAAACGACTTTCATTATTTTGACAATTGCTTGGTATTTTCTTTTCTGCTGCTATTATTATTATGTTGGTATTCCACATTGACCTAGTAATGGAAATTCTGTTCTTGAGGTATGGTGTCAACTAGACTTGTCACAACTCAAATAAGTTACCAGAGAATCCTCACAGTGTAATAATGGTAGTTTTCTGGAGATTTTCAATATTAGTTGCAACACCAATTTTCCCTAAGTACACTTTTAACTTTCTGGATGGTGTTCCAAATGCACTCATTATTACAGGATGTACTTAAACAGTCATGTTCCATAGCTACTGACAGTTGTACCAAGAGTGGATGGGGGGTCTGAAAGGGCAAAATTTTGATCCAGTGACCGTAGCAAAGAAGTAGAATGGCAAATTAAAAAGAAAGAAAGTTCTATAGTTGATAGTCACAATGAGCTTGGTCCAGTACAGGTCAAGTTCTGAACATCCTTTCACTGCTTGTTTGCAGCTCACCATTTATTCTGGGTTTTGACCATGCGTGCAAATTAGTGATTGTTTTAAAAGCACTAGAACAATGCTTTACCTAAATTTCAAATGGCAGCTCCAACCAGGCAGGCAAGACATCATGGCCTCATAACCATGGGTAGGTTCATGGTCATTTTTCTCAGCAGAAAAAGAAAATTGCTGGATCCAAGTGGTAGTTTTAGGTAAATGATGGATCTGTAAAGTAAGAAATGAGTTACTTATATTTGCATCTAAGGAGCAAGCCATCAGAATGTATACTGTCAAGGTCAAGATGGACAACTCAAGGGAAGAAAGCAGATGTGGGATTCGTAGTGGATGAGACTGTTAACTACATCTTTGGGGAATGTCTCAAGCTAGCATGAAAAGAGGATAAACAATATGATTGGATTGGTAAGATAATCCATTAGGAAATATGTCATAAATTTGTCTTCAATATGAAAGAGAAAGGTATGAATATCAACGAGAGGCAGGGGTAGAAAATGACAGACACAAAATATGAGATTTCTCTGTCCAGACTGATCATACCATTGAAGCATGAAAACCTGACTTTATTGTTATAGATAAGGAAAATAGCAAATGTCAAATTATTGATTCCATACGATACAATAGTAGACACCAAAAGATACCAGGATCTGGCTCGGGAATTGATGATGCTATGTATAATTATAATTATGATAGTGTTGCTCATTAACATAGTCAGGTAAAATTCTGTTCTTGAGGCATTGGTGCAAAAATTGGTTGGAAGCACATACAGGAAAAGAAAGGTAGTACAAGTCCAATAGGTTCACTAAGCTAAACAAATCCAAACTTCTCACCTCGATCTCCAATACGCCACTCACCGTCCTAAATGGAAAAAAAAAGCGAACCCCTGTTAAATGAACATACTATGTTTTTAGACACCTGACCCAGCCAGCACTCAGCCAATGAACACCCAGAACCAGCCAATAAAAATGGCTACAAGCAACACTACTACCTCCATCAGCATGAAGTACTGTCTAATGCCATCTGAAGCTCATCGATTCACCGTCTCCACACTTCCTTGCAAAATATACACACAACTCTGTCACTTTCGGGGTGCCGAGGTAAGACACCGCTACAGGCATGGTGGCATTAAGACTGCTTTCAACACAGGAACTTTCGGGAGAATCTTCACAAAGTTTTTTTAGAGGTTTACAGTCTTAGTCTGAAATTTAGTTTTCCCTCACTACTTCTTCATTTTTCTAGATTGTGTTCCACGTGTACAGGAATTAGTTCTATAGTCATTTTTCTATAGCTTTTCCAGCTTCCTAGCCAAATCCTGGTGTGTTTCTGTCTTTTTTTTTTTTCCAGTGTCTTTCTATAATTATTATTATTGTTATTTACCTCTATTTAAAAAAAAATCATCTTTAAAATCGTATTATCCATCTGTCTTTATTGTTTTCTTTCAAAAAACAAAACTAAACTAAAAATGACATTGTTATATTTGAAAATTATGCTTACTTCAAGCTTAAACATTTACACTCTAAATCCTGGGTATGATGATAAACTACATTTGGCATCAGGAGATTTTGAAGAGAATAGAACAAACTCTTAATTGTTGTTGTTTCCTGGTCCACCCATACCTGGGGTGGTAGCACCTGTTAGGGTCTTAACTATGGGCAAATAATGAATCTCCCAATGTGACACCTACTCGGGCATTCTGGGGTTGAATACTACTAGTCACTGCCATTAATATGTGACCTGGTTGATCGGCAGTTGTGGCTACCTGGTGGGAAGTTTTGGTCAGGGTACCAAATGGGATGGTTGGTTGATTCTCATGGCACAAATACATAATGGCTTTACACCAGATGCAATTTGCTCAGTGCCAGCTCCGTCATTCTCAACTCGCTTCCAATGACTGGTTACTATCTTAATCTCAAGTCTAACCTCTGCACGTTGTGATTCTTATCTTTGGCTGATGAGATCAATCAGACACCAGGGCCCTCTTGCAAGTTGAGTTTAAACTGGAGGTGATGTCACACAAGCAAAAAGAAATAAATAAAAACCAAAAAGGTTTGGGTATGTTTAAAGAAAGTAAATCATCTTTTATCTGTCTGTTCTATACAGGAATGTGTGTTCTTCCCAACCTGTTTCTTCTGAGAGTGACACTTTTTTACTTCTAGACAAGTTCTGATCTTCTAAGTCAACTGGTTTAGTTTCTAAGTGCTGGCTTAGCTTCGTTCGTTAGTATAACTTGCTGTTTGTAGAAAAGCAAAGCCAGAGGCAGGAATCATGGAATCTCTGAGTCAGCTTTCTTGTAGCTCTCCCCAACTCCAAAATGCAGACGAGTGAACTGCTGAAGAGCTCTCGCTTATATGGACGTCAACCAAAACCCATTGCGGAGTTAGATGCAGCCTGGGTTTTTCAGTGAATCCCCAATTTCCAACAAGGGTCCCTTTTTTGTCTGGCCAGGAAAATTAATTACTTCTGGGGGGATCCTTTCATCTGTGAGGAGAGGTTACAGGATAGCTATCCTCCTAAACTCCCTCCTCCTCACATTAGTACCTTAGACCGGTTCCTTTCAGTGGACGTTAGTAACTTCTCTGTCTCCCTTACTTTTTTACCTCCGCCTATCACCACTGCTACAACATGACCAATAATGTCTCGGTCGTACTGGTGTGGCTAAGCTTGCTTCATTAATTAACTCTTTGACGCCACTGCTTATTCAAAATTTCTTACCTTGTTCCTAGATCATAAGCAGTTTAGAATTATCAACTGGTAATTTGTTTACGCAAATCCTTTTGCACCCTGCCAAAATTCCTACAATTAACACATGGCCCACTCGTTTGACCATTTCCTCAGTCACATTACCTGTGTACATAATATCTATGCATTCTTGAATGATATCTTCATCAATTCTGGTTATTTTGTGTTTTCTTAACCAGCACTTTTAACAACCATCATTAATCAATTGCCAGAGATTGCCAAATTGCCTTTTCACGAAATTATCATTGACGCAATTCTTCTGTTTTTAGACCTTTTGAAAAAAATAAAATCCTCTTATGGTGATTGGTATGTTCTTCGGGATATCTCCTAACCCTTCTTTTCTGTTTTCAACATTTTCCCATTCAATTTTTATGTCTAATTAGTTAATTAATTACCATAGTTAATTAGCATCACACCAAAATGGGGTATGAATGTATAAAAATACACTTTTATAGTAAAATTACCAACAATGCATTTTGGAAAAAAAAAATCACTAGCAATACATTTTTTAAAATTAAATTATAGTAATTTCATTTGCAAAAAAGTATTGCTGGTAATTTTTGCTTCCCAAAACATTAAATTTTGTCATTAAATGACCCATAAGGAGTTGACATGACACTAAACAAAATTTTACATTCAAGGAAAAGCAATTTCATTTTACAGATTTATTATACTTACATGTTTTAGCAAATTATCAAAGAATTTCTATCAAAGAATTTTCCTGACATTTTCTCTGCCAAGGGACATAACTGTTACAATTATCATCATCATGTAGGTTTCTTCCATTACTTTTCTTCAGCTATATTTTTGCATTTGAATGTGTTGTTTTTTCTTCTCTTTATTATGTAGAACAAGTGGATATACTTAGTAGAGGAAACATTTATCTCCAGCAAATTTAATGCTAATGTTAAGATAGAGGGAAAATAAGGAACAGAATTTAATAATAGACAGATTCTCCAGAGAAAAATTCATATCATTATTTGCAGAAACATCGAAGCTAATTTGATTGCATGACCAATTTCATATTGAGAGTTTCTTTTTTATTATTGAACCAACTTTTCTTCTTCATATTTTTTTCTTATTGTTATACTCATGTTGCTTTTTCTTTATTTTTTGGTTCTTCATTTTATTTCTTTAATACTTCCATCTGATTTTTTCTAACTTGAATTTTTTTTCCTTATTTTTCTTCATTATTTGATTCATTTTCTTTTCTCTTTTGCTTCCTTCTTACCATTTCTTCCATATTTTTCTTTTTTTCTTCTGTTTTTCTCTTCTTCTTTTTCTTTATTTTATGTCTGACATTTTCCTTTTGTTATTTTGTTTCTTTTTCCACTCCCACTTCTTCTTCTTTGTTTAATTTTTCTGTTTCTTTTTTTCCCTTGATTTTTTTATTCTTTTTTGTGTATATCTGACTTTTCCCTTTTCTTTGTTCCTTCCCCCCCCCACTTTTTCTTCTATATGTTTGACTTTTCCCTTTTACTGTTCTCTTTCTTCTGTTCAACTCCTCCTACTCCTCCTTCTTCTTCTTCTCCTCTGACTTTTTCCTTTTCTATTTTGTTCTCTTTTTTTTCCAGTGGGTGTGCAAGTGGTTTAATAATGACTCAGAAAGAGAAATTGCAGAACTGTGTTCAAATTCCGGTCAGGATCATTACTTTCACTTAAGCACAAATACTCCTTTCTTTTCCTCTGTGTGCTTCCTCCAGCTATGGTTTAAATAGTAGAACTTATCTCTGGAGAAATTATTGATATTCTCAAAAAATTGTAAATGCTGTATTCACTCACAAAAAAGAAAAAGTGAATTATTCTTACAATCCAAAATATGTTTCGGCTTTAAATAACTTGAAATGGGTTGATAAACCATAAAAAAAAATAAATCAATCTATCTTTTTTCCCAAATATTTATTTTCTTCTGTATGTCTTTTTTCTTTTTGTATGTTGTCTATTCCCTCTTTTTCCCCCTCTTTTTCTATTTTCAATATTTTTTCGACTCCTTCAGTATTTTCTCATTTTTCCTATTTCTGTTTTATTTCTTTTTTCTCTCTTTTTGCTTTTTCTTTCTTTTTTCAAACTCCTCCTTCTTTTTTATGTATATCTCACTTTTCCCCTTTCTTTCTTTTTCCCCTTTATTCTTTTTCTATTTTATTTCTTTTTTCCAAACCCTTCTTTTTCAGTATTTCTCTTTCTTTTCCCACCCCCTTATTTTTTTTTTATTCTGTTTCTTTTTTCCAATTCTTTCTTCTCCTTCATCTGTATGTCTTTCTTTTCTTATTCTTCTCTATGTGTGATTTCTATCCTTTCCTATTTTTCTTTTTCCAATTTTTTCTTCATCTTATTTCTCTCTTTTTCTATTTTGTTTTTTTTTTGCTTCTTGTATCTTTTTTGCTTTTACTTTTTTTTTTCACTGTGATTCATTCATTTTCTGCTTCTTTTTTTTTTTCTTTTTTTTTTTCTTTCCCTTAAGTTTTCTTTCTCTCTCAACACTCTTTTCATTCTGTTTTTTTTTTTTTTTTTTAACCTTCTTCCCATCTGGTTTGAACTTTTCTTTTTTTCTTCTTCAGCTTCTTCTTCTTCTTTATTCTTCTTCCCTCTTTGCCTTCTCCTCATTCTATGATTTCTCCAGCATGATCATTTTCTGACTGGAAGCTTATGTAGATATTCACCAAGGTGATTTGAATATCAGTCAGGTTCACAATTATGGAAGGATCAAATTAACTTCACAAGTGAGTTGTCCGAGACATGCTTCTTTATTCTTTTTTTTTTTTTTGTTTTTAACAGTGAGGTTCACCCTTTACAAGGCCCTGGAGCAACTAGTAGAGTAAGAGGTAATTTTTTGGGTGATAATGGTTAACCCAAGACTTGAACAGGTTGAGATAGTAGTAATTGGGGAAACATCCTCTTGGGAGTCAGTTCCACAGAGTAGTGATTCACTGGAAGAAGCTGTTTGAGTGGAATACAGAGGAAATGTGGCTGGTTTGCTGAGTGGTATGACAGGTCTTAGCCGTCACTGGCAGAACCAAGGAATGCAGTTAGGTCGTGCATTTTCCATGCAAGTAGCAACTGAGCAGTGAGAGGCTTACCACATCCCATCTTTGAGAGAATGTTTCCAGGGTGGTAAATAATTTGTTACCCACGAGAGACACTTTTGAACTCTGAGACTGCCAAAGCTTTCTACATACAACATATGCATGCACATGTGATACCCTGCCCTCATCAGCCCCCTAACCAGGGAAGGTAACACTGTTTTGGTGGCTAAGGTGGTATTGCCACTCCTGGTGCCACCAGCAGCTTTTGCCACTGGACAGGATATTGTTTTTTGTTGTAGACATGTCAGACTCTGCAATTTTTATGCAACTGCAAAGTCAGATTTTCCAACATTGTTTTCAATAAGAGCATTAGCTGATGTTTTGCCAATCTTGTCTTTGTATTTGTTAAACAAAATACAATGTGCTTGTAGTGACTGTTATCAATGATATATAATGGAAGGCAAGAAAATGTGCTTCATGTTGGAAGTATCATTGTGTTGCAAGCATGGTTTTAATTAAATTTGTTTATTTTGGATCATGACCAGCTCCAGCTCAGTGGTTGTTGAGTTGTGGTCTGGAGACAATGTGACAACAGTACTCCATTGTAGGCCTGATCTGGCTCCTTTAAAAGTAGAGGATAGCACAAGGAGTCAGATACTTACTGGAGCGGTACAGAGAATCTACCATTTTCCCAGCATTTTATTAATGACTATCTCTTTAGATAAGGTGTCTGAAACAAAATTTTATTTACCAACTTTTGAATCTGACCTGGAATCAACACAAGACATCTGATACGAATATTCTTTTCATATTTTATCATAAAAACAATGGCATATTGCTGCTACATCTGGGCTGGAGCTGCCCAGTCTTCTCTTTTCAGCCTCAACCAAGTTCAGATGTCTTCTTTACTGTTATTTTTATGGTAGTTTTCTGGCAAACTACATTCCTTGGTTAAACCAGTTCTGATCTTAACAGACCCTGAACACACTGAGTGAACTCATCCTCATTCCCTTCATATTGCATTAGTAAGGAGTAAGTTCCACTCAGACAACTTATTCTCCAGAACTGTTACAACATGGATGGACTCTCAAGGCATTGCTTCCCTGGACACTGTAGTCTTATCCTCTTCAATTTGACAGTCAACCATTATCTATCCTACAATCCTTGCTGTCTTCCTATACATCCTTACATCTTCATTCAGTAATTCTTTACCTTGGGTGCCATTTGGGCCTTTTATTGTGTAAACAATAATAAAAAGAAAATGCTCAGAGATTGAGAGATGAACAGCAATATAAATCACAAATGAACTTTATTGAAGTGATTTTTTGTTTGACTTGCGATCAGAATGTTTCTTTTTTTCCGCCCCTTTTTGACCAATCAGGGAATTTAAAAAAAAAAATGACACTGAGTTTCCTCCATGAAATCAATGTTTATAAAAGAAATCATATTGTCCAAATATCCAACCATCTCCTCCAGGAAAATCTTTACTTTCACTGCCTTCATATTTGATTAACTGCTATAATAGGCCCCACCAATCATTTGCTAAAAACTGAGCATTTATTTTTAAAATCTTTGTTATTATTAAGAGGAAAGACCAAAGGATTTTTAAATTATATTTTTTAATCCTTTTTAGAAATTTCAAAATTCTAATTAATTTTTTTTTGTGTGTGTGTGTCAGTGGATTATCAGATGTTAGTATGGAAAATTTGAGCATATTTTTGCAGTGAAAAATACATTGATTTGGAAATTCTTGTAAAAATCGGATAATTTTCAAATTTTAATGAAACTTTCATGACTTATTCACAAATGAATCAGATTATTTTAGAAATGTTTCTTTTTTAGAAACTCTTGGTAAAAATATATTTTTTAAAATTTGTCACTGCCAGCTTATTTAAATTTATGAAATTTTGAGAAATTCTTTTTTGTTGCACTTAATGCTTATATTAATTAGGACAGGTCTGTGAAGAATCAATTTCTTTTTTTTTTTTGCGAAACAAGACCCCACCTGTTAAAGAAAATCCGCTATAAATTGTAAAATAAAAAAAAATGGAATGAAATTAAGTCATTATTTAATTAGAAAAGCTTTTAATTTCTTTTATGAATAAGATATATTAGGAACACTATTGTCATAAAATAAAATAATTTTCAATGTTTTCATTTTTTAATAATTTTAATTAGAATAATTTTAAAGTTTTAAATCTTTTCAAATTCCATACTAATTTGTAGCAGTTACGTGATATTGTTATTAAATAAAATTATTCTATTATTTATTGGAATGATTGGCAAAACATCAGCTAATTGCCAATTGATTCAAACTTTATAAAATGGTAAATAATAAGGATTTCTTTATAGTTGGTTCACATATTTTAAGAATTTAGTAAATGTTTATAAATTTATAAATAAAAATTGTTTTCATATTTAGTTCATTATAAATTGGTAAATGATAAATATTGCATTGCATTAGTTTTAATTGTATTATTTTTTAGAATTCATAATTTACTTTTATCATATGTTTAGGTTTTATTACAATTTTAATTATCACTTTTTAAAACAATAAACATTGCTGAGGAGGGAAGGTAGTTAAAATAATAGCAGTGTCAAAAGAAAAACTGTCCTTTTGACACTGTTCTTTTGCATGTATGAAGGTTGATGTTTGCCAAAAAATTAGCGGTTTTTCTCAATTGAATTTAATGTAATTCATTGAGTTCAGTTCTTGCTACCTCCTCTCTCTCTATCTATCTATCTATATAATAAAAATGCTTAAACACTAATATTCCATGGTCATAATTTATTCTTTTAAGCCTTTTTATTATATCCTTACTCTGTCCTAGACATTGAGTTCTATCTGGATTCTTCCTCTTGGAAAAATTTTTTTCTGAAAATATACATGTATGGGTATTTTTATATATATTTTGCATATGTATGTATATTTTCCACTAATATTATCTATCTATCTATCTATCTATCTATATATATATATATATATATATATTATAATAAAGAGAAAGAACAGTAGGATATATAATCTGGTGTTCTAATTAATATTTTTACTTTTACAAAACAGTGCTCAGTACAAATCTACAGAGGGTAAATATTATAAATTTACTAACTTAAAAATATGGTTCCAAAATTTAAAAGTATGATTCCAAAATTTGCTTGAAAATGAAACAGAACTAGGGACTTTAATTTAATTCTTTAATTGAATTTGAAGTTTTTAGCTTCTGGTTTTGAAACATGGTTATTCCTGGGTAGCAATGGAACTATATTTTTAAATTAGGAAATTTATAATATATATATATATATATATATATATATATATTTAAATTAGTAAATTTATAATATATATGAAGAAATATACTCTTAAGGTATGCTATATTTATGAGATAAAATGCTCAATATCAGAGATAGAGCATGTGTAAATTTGAAAGTGAACATTGAAGTCAATACTTAGAAGCAACAGGCTGTTTCATGCTAGACGCAATTGTCAGGCCACCTGATGATTGCATCTAACATGAAACAGCTTGTCACCTCTAAGTGTTGACTTCAATGTTCACTTTTATATATATATATATATATATATATAAATTAACAACACACCTGTAAAATCAAAACTACAAAGAACAAACATAAATTTACAAGTTCAAATGCACCTTAAGGGACTGTGTTCCTGATCAAACCAAAATCATAAATAATTACATCGGTCACATTACTACATCCCTATTCAGATGAGTTACATTACATCAATCTAACCACAACTTCATCAGAACCCATTTAAACACACACACACAAACTTTCCAGACTCCATCCGAAAATACTAGTAGAAAATACAAGCATAATAGCCTTATACACATGTAAAAAAAAAAAAAGATTGAAAATAATGGAAGCCATAATAATAAAAAAAGAAAAATCTAACACTCATTAATATTAACTACGAACACAGCCACAATGTATTGACTGTGTTTGGTAAATAAAACATCTCTATAACTCTAGATACATGAACATAACCCATACATCCAGTTAAAAAGTAAAAATAAAAGCATTCTTGGTAATGGCTAAAAGTATAGCTGAAAGCACTCAGAATTACAGAACATTTGGACAGTTTATACACACTCTGTGTCCAGAAAAGAAAACACTTGTTTGAACACAAGAAAAATTGTATAAAAAGCTAAATCACAGTACCATGTCTGTCATCTTTAATGAAATATGTATAAATGAGGGATTGTTGCCTAAACACACATACACACATATATATGAAGAAATATACTCTTAAGGTGTGCTATATTTATGGGATAAAGTGCTCAATATCAGAGAGATGTGTGTAAATATAAAAGTGAACATTGAAGTCAACACTTAGAATCAACAGGCTGTTTCATGCTAGACGCAATCGTCAGGCCACCTGACGATTGCGACTAGCATGAAGCAGCCTGTCGCCTCTAAGCATTGACTTCAATGTTCACTTTTATATTTATATATATATATATATATATATAGAGAGAGAGAGAGAGAGAAAGAAAGAAAGAGAGAAAGATGTGTATGTTTGTGTGTGTGTATGTGCACGTGTATAGTGGACTTCCTTATCATATTTTGA